ATACATATCAGCAATAACAACTTGGATAGGAAAATCTGAAAAATGACGCTAGCCAATTTTTTTCGATGATTGTTCGTTGGTAATGAAGCAATCATCAATTGTGAAATTTCAACCAATTCCCAACACTATCCAATGGTATGAGGAAAAAGATCAAATTGTTTTGTTTTGTGTGCAGTGATGTAAGGTGTAATGTATTTATGAGTCTATGTAATTAAGGTTTAAGTATTGAATTTGTAATCAACATAATTACTTGGCACCTTTCATTTTTGAAAGATTTCTGAACATTGAATGTTTTCTGATGACTTGAGCTTGTACGGTTATGAGAGATTATCTAGTTCTATAGTCATGTTTGGCTGTGACTTCATCTTGGAGGTTCCTTGTCAGAATGGGTCAGCTGTGTCTCATTCTTGTAGAACACCATGGAGTGACACATTGACTGACTCATAGACTAATGCTTAGTCTCTGAATATATATATATATATTATTATTTTTTTGAGCGTAACAAATAAACCCATTTAAATTGAAAAGGAGCCCCAGTGAGATGGGAGATTCAGAACTTGAGGGAATCTAGACTTGCTTCATTTAGGGCTTTAGCAATGCAGGGAGGGCTAGGCAGTAGGGAAAATATTGTGGTTCAGTGACTGGGAGACAGACTAGACTGACTCACTGAGTGAGTGAGTGAGTGAGTGACTTACTGACTGAGTTACTGACAGACTGACTCATTCACTTGCTCACATAAGACTTGCATGGTCATTCAATGTGTTACAGTTAACAGAACCTTGAAAATTCTATTGTTTTCTCCCAAATTCAAGTGTTTTAAATGCTTTGAAGGTACGCATGGATCAAGACTTGTACAGAGACTTGTTCAACCATTTCATTGAGGACACACGCTTGTGATCAATGCCACTCAACATGACCCTTGGTGTAACCTGACATGACCCTCCTCCATGTGGGGTACATTGTGTGTACTGTGGGCAGTCCGGTCAAGTGCTGCAACACCACATGTGGTCACTGCATAGAAGCCATGTGTATTGATTCATTGGGAAGCTGGGACACATGTCAGCGAAAACACAATCCTCATCATATATTTGCCATTCAGCTTGTTCAGAGGACAGCTTTTGTTACTTTCATAATGGATAAAGTAGATTTTTATCCAAATTAGGAAAGAATGTAAAATCTAAAATACATTTTAGAGGGTAGAAGAGTGGTAGAGGTATGGGTTATGATAATAGTTGTTTAACAATTCCAAAATTACACATCATTTTTCAAAAGTTGAAATTCTTTTACTGTAATGTTTAAACTATGAGAAATTTGCAAGAATCCTCTAAAGTGGAATAGTTTTGCTTATTTATGTTGTAAGTAAAATTGGAATCACCAAGTTGTGTGAAACCCGAAAGCAGAGATGCCAATACTATTTTGGGCCTAAGTGTAATAATAGAGGTCAAAAAGTGTAATTTGGACCTAAAAAGTGTAATACTTGTCTGCCGATCGCTTCAACACGGTACATTTTATCACGAAAGGAAGATTCTAGACAGAAACACATGTGACCAATCATTATGAAGCTCCATACATTGAAAATTGTTGGTCATGTGACTCAAAATACTTTAATTCCTTGCAAGTTTATTGGAATGAGTGCGATGCTAAGAGTAAGCGATTCCTATCGATGCAAGGCCATTTCTGCACCCCTGCACCTGTGCGTTACGAAACACTCCCCTTTGAAATTTTACCCACTTTATTGATTTTCGTGAAACGAGTAGAAAAATGTAATTTTCGCAGATTAAGTGTAATGGCGTAATATACTGGTCAAAATCATATTAATTACGCCTAAAGCATAAGGGTTGGCATCTCTGCGAAAGATGCCTGTTCATGTTGTAGTGTTATATAGGTTTAGAGGTTTCTGTTGCTTAAACATCTAAATTTCAATGCTGGAACAGACTGATGTGTTCACATTAGGTCAGAACTATCTGTCCGAACATGTCCCTGTCTGTCTGTCAGTCTCTGTACATGTGTACTTATATGGAGCATTTTTAGTTGTAAACTGGTATACCAATAGTCAAACTAAATCCCCCCACTAGTTGAACGTACCTGTAATATGTACAGATGATTTGAGGGTCATCACATGAATCACATCGGAATATGCCTAATCATTCACCATTGCCAGTGTGAGTTTCCTCACATCATCAGGACTGGCCATGTAGAATACAGCTGCCATGTATCACCAGTCAGCAACAGCTTGTATATTACAGCCAGCAGTAGGAGTGACAATTATACCAAAGCCAGTGCCTGTATGATGAAGGATAAGGGATGGTCTACACGTTAATTGTTAGTTGGAATGTTAACTTGCTGCACTAAATAGAATATGAGGGCGTGGGATGAGTTTCCCGATTCCGAGATGAGGGAATATTTGGTCAGCTCAGTGTTTATTTGTCAGATTGGTACAAGTTTGATATTACCGACATGGGTAATTCATTTAATACTTTTCTGGTTACCTCTGTCATGATACTTCTGAACAAACTAAAAAAAATACCAACTAGCTTGAGAAATTTTAAGCCTGACAACCTCAAGGTATACTGGGACTCTCTATTATCGCGGCATGTGAAAACATTGGGAAAGCAGAAACACCATGCGTGAAAAATTTAATTGTTCTGGAAAAAGTGATTTATTTCATTGGAATGTCATGTCTAATCGTAGAAATATTAAAGTATTCACCTTTTCACTAAGTTCTGGAACATTTTGAAACTAGTATGACCCCTACCACCATTTCAACTTCACCCTGCACACGGCAGCATATTGTATGACATGTTTTAAGGCGGCAATAAACTATTTTGTTACGTTATTGTTACTTTGTATCCAAATGAATAGAAGTTTCAAATGTTTTGGTTAAAAACTTGATGATATTACTAAGTTTAAGGATATTCCAAAAACAATTGTAATATTTAAACTATTTAGATTCGTTACTTGTCTTAAGTAAATGTTTGACAGTGTCATTTGCTTGTACCGCATGCCATTGTAAGAAAATAACAGTGCCGCAATAATAGAGAGTTGCTTCAATATCCGGGGTCAAACGAGGCAATCAGGATTGCCGTGATCGTACTGAATGAGTTACAACTATGTGCTAAATTATTTGTGAAAGAAATGAAGATTATACATCAGTCAACTGAAAATATACACAAAATGCCAAATGTCAGTAGGCGTTCATAATCCCTATAGCTTTAACTACCGCAATTGTAGAAGGTCCCATGATAATTATTACATATTGATCCAGACGGTCTACATCAACATGGAACAAAATAGTCATTAAGAGCTAAACGTTTAAGTGAGAAAACACTAGAGGTGCAGCATCATGATGATAGTAACTGAAAGTTTCAAACACACAATGTTGACACAGTATGACATAATGTTAATGGTCAAATGTTATTGGTCAATAAGAAAATAATTGATGCATATATCCCCATAGTTGATATTTTGTACTAGGTACCCATGCCAACGGTAACATTATAGCTAGAAATAGATAGAACAGTGTTGCAGCATGTCAGCTTTAGACTTTCATTCTCACTGGAATGACTCTGTTAATATGCTAAGAGACCTTGCTTTGTACTACTGCTCTAATCTTTGATCTATGCAACTGTTAATGCATATCACTTGCATTTTTGACTACATATGTAAGCCCAGTATGGAATGTAAAGTGAACTGGTACCTGAACCTCCTGGTTGTCGTAAGAGCTGATTGAAGATTATTGAAAAGCAAGGTGAAGGTCTGGTTTGATGCTCATGTTCAAGCCACTGGTTTGTCTGATCAAAGATGTATGTACATCAAAACTAGATGGCAACTTACAGACACCTAGCTCCACCCAGCCAGTGGATGTACCCTGAATACAGCAGTGAGATGTCCACCAGCTGAGATGTACCCTGAATACATCTAACTATGGCAACTTGACAGACACCTAGCTCCACCCAGCCAGTGGATGTACCCTGAATACAGCTAAAACTATATGGCAACTTGACAGACACCTAGCTCCAACCAGTCAGTGAGATGTACCCTGAATACAGCACCTAGCTCCACCCAGCCAGTGAGATGTGCCTGAGAACTATATGGCAACTTGACAGACACCTAGCTCCACCCAGCCAGTGAGATGTGCCTGAGTCTCCTAGCTCCAACCAAACTATATATGGCAACTTGACAGACACCTAGCTCCACCCAGCCAGTAAGATGTACCCTGAATACAGCGGAACTATATGGCAACTTGACAGACACCTAGCTCCACCCAGCCAGTGAGATGTACCCTGAATACAGCGGAACTATATGGCAACTTGACAGACACCTAGCTCCACCCAGCCAGTGAGATGTGCCTGAGTCTCGCAAAACTATATGGCAACTTGACAGACACCTAGCTCCACCCAGCCAGTAAGATGTACCCTGAATACAGCGCAGTAAGAGACATATGGCTGTACCCAGCCAGCCAGTAAGATGTACCCTGAATACAGCGCTATATGAACTATATGGCAACTTGACAGACACCTAGCTCCACCCAGCCAGTGAGATGTACCCTGAATACAGCGGAACTATATGGCAACTTGACAGACACCTAGCTCCACCCAGCCAGTGAGATGTACCCTGAATACATCGGAACTATATGGCAACTTGACAGACACCTAGCTCCACCCAGCCAGTGAGATGTGCCTGAGTCTCGCAAAAGATGTGTCTCGCAAAACTTAATTCACACAACTAGACACAACCCTAGCTACACCCAGCTTCTGAGCTTGATCCTAAATCTATGTACATGTACAATGTGATACAACTCTTGCTCATCCTGGCCTAAATCTAGCCAAACACACACCTTCAGGCATAAGGCCTTGTCCATTCTTACTGCTCTTCCGCTAGTGTATTCCCTGCCTCTGATAAAGTCCTACTGTTTGAGGTTTAAGACCTTGTCCACTCTTAGTCCCCTTTCTCAAGTGCTTGTGGGATATACTTTAATCTATTGTTTCTTCTGATTCTAGCCTCTATGTATGTACTACTGGACACACCTGGAGGCCCGGCCCCCCAGCCAGACTGACTCGCCAGGGAAGTTGATGCCCATGTGGCCACCACAGGCTGACGACAGTGACCACAGCACAAGGCCATCCCTCAAATATACAGAGCCAGGTGAGTGATGCTATCAGTGACCATTCCTATTGTTTCTGTAGCCTTAGAGCACTTGACACATCTTCACTCTGTATGACCAAGGAGGCTTTAGGTACCTTGCCTTGAAAGAGACAACAAGGGTTTAGATCATTTCATTTGCAACCAATGTGAAGGCTATTTTTGGTCTGAGGTTTGGAATCATGGTAGGTGGCAGGTTGAAGGACATTCTTCCTGTGGTTGTGGTTATGGGATCAGGCAGGTTGAAGAACATTCTTCCTGTGGTTGTGGTTATGGGATCAGGCAGGTTGAAGGACATTCTTCCTGTGGTTGTGGTTATGGGATCAGGCAGGTTGAAGGACATTCTTCCTGTGGTTGTGGTTATGGGATCAGGCAGGTTGAAGGACATTCTTCCTGTGGTTGTGGTTATGGGATCAGGCAGGTTGAAGGACATTCTTCCTGTGGTTTGGGGTCATGGGATCTGGCAGATTGAAGGACATTCTTCTTGTGGTTTGGGGTCGGGGTAGGTGGCAGGTGGAAGGACATTCTTCCTGTGGTTTGTGGTCATGGTAGGTGATAGGTTGAAGGACATTCTTCCTGTGGTTGTGGTTATGGGATCAGGCAGGTTGAAGGACATTCTTCCTGTGGTTGTGGTTATGGGATCAGGCAGGTTGAAGGACATTCTTCCTGTGGTTTGGGGTGATGGTATGTGGCAGGTTGAAGGACATTCTTCTTGTGGTTTGGGGTCGTGGCAGGTGGAAGGACATTCTTCCTGTGGTTTGTGGTCATGGTAGGTGATAGGTTGAAGGACATTCTTCCTGTGGTTTGGGGTGATGGTATGTGGTAGGTTGAAGGACATTCTTGCTGTGGGTAGGTGGTAGGTTGAAGGACATTCTTCCTGTGGTTTGGGATCATGGTAGGTGGCAGGTTGAAGGACATTCTGGCTGTGGTTTGGGGTCATGGCAGTTTGAAGGACATTCTGGCTGTGGTTTAGGGTCGGGGTAGGTGGCAGGTTGAAGGACATTCTTCCTGTGGTTTGTGGTCATGGTAGGTGATAGGTTGAAGGACATTCTGGCTGTGGTTTGGGGTGATGGTATGTGGTAGGTTGAAGGACATTCTTCCTGTGGTTTTGGGACATGGTAGGTTGAAGGACATTCTTCCTGTGGTTTGGGGTCATGGCAGTTTGAAGGACATTCTGGCTGTGGTTTGGGGTCATGGTAGGTGATAGGTTGAAGGACATTCTGGCTGTGGTTTGGGGTGATGGTATGTGGTAGGTTGAAGGACATTCGTCCTGTGGGTAGGTGGTAGGTTGAAGGATATTCTTCCTGTGGTTTGGGGTCATGGTAGGTGGCAGGTTGAAGGACATTCTGGCTGTGGTTTGGGGTGATGGTATGTGGTAGGTTGAAGGACATTCTTCCTGTGGTTTTGGGACATGGTAGGTTGAAGGACATTCTTCCTGTGGTTTGGGGTCATGGCAGTTTGAAGGACATTCTGGCTGTGGTTTGGGGTCATGGTAGGTGATAGGTTGAAGGACATTCTGGCTGTGGTTTGGGGTGATGGTATGTGGTAGGTTGAAGGACATTCGTCCTGTGGGTAGGTGGTAGGTTGAAGGATATTCTTCCTGTGGTTTGGGGTCATGGTAGGTGGCAGGTTGAAGGACATTCTTCCTGTGGTTTTGGGGTCATGGTATGTGGTAGGTTGAAGGACATTCTTCCTGGGTTTTGGGGATATTCTTCCTGTGGTTTGGGGTCATGGTAGGTGGCAGGTTGAAGGACATTCTTCCTGTGGTTTTGGGGTCATGGTATGTGGTAGGTTGAAGGACATTCTTCCTGTGGTTTGGGGTGATGGTATGTGGCAGGTTGAAGGACATTCTTCCTGTAGTTTGTGGTCATGTTGGGTCACAGGATGATGTTAACTTTGATGTAATTTGTTCAGGTAAATCATGTTTTACAGTGTATGTTCACAGGAAGGGTTTAGTTTATAGTATTTTGCAACAGGCATAATGGAGAATAAGTACAAGCCACAACTGATGTTGGTATCAATTAAAGAATACTTACGAATACAGTTAAACCTGTTGGCAGGTTTCACTGAATATCAAAAAAGCAGCAATAGGTTCATTCAGCATTTGGTAGAGACTGTTATTAGAAAAAAGGTGATAAAGTATTCTGAAAGTTATTTTATGTAAATGTCAATTCTGTAGCTCTAAGGACGAACTTGTGCATTCTTTTTTTTTGTTGAAAAAACCCTGGTAAACCTCTAATAGTAATACTTGCTACCTTCAGGACATCCTCCCACATTAGTGAGTGAGTAAGATATTAGCAATATTCCACCTATATCAAGGTGGGGGACAAAGAAATGGGCTTTGTATTGTAACCATATGTGGGATTGAACTCAGCCTTTCAGGTGAGTGAACGCTTTATCCACTAGGCTACCCCAATGCCACCTCATTCATTAAGCTGAGATATAATATATCTCAAGTAATGTTTAAAGTGGTTACATCGAACACATTCACTCATTGATTGTACCAAGGCCCAGCCAATACATAAATAGATTCTTTGACATGGACCTAATGTTTTATACTTTTCATATCACAAAGATAAAGTGCATGATAAGAATACTTATGTTCATTGTGTCATGGGTGTGGAATCAGAGCTAGGATTTACTTTTATTTCAATCTTTGTAGTTTAACAATTAGCCAGAGGCCCTTAAAGATACAGTCACCCTACAATAATGATAGACAAGGATGGTAAGGCAATAAAGGGCATATCACAGTGATATATCACACAATGGTGTGAGAGTGTGTCTCTGGGGTGGTTGACCCATTTCAGAGCTTGGATGTAACAGTGCTTACAACATCATCATTCAACAGTGTAACGGTGCTCTTCAAGGGACAAATTGCACATAATCGGCAGTAATTTACCTAATTATAGTAGGTTGGGTAGGATTTGTCTGTGGTACATGGCTGTCGTGGCGGGGGAGTCGATGCTAAACGGGAAGTTGTTTGGAAGTTTACGATGACAGAGATGTGCTGTTTGTGTTTTAGTGATGTATGCTAGCAGGGAGACTACCAGCAGGATTCAATATAGGATTTATACGCCTGGGAGACTACCAGCAGGAATCAATATAGGATCATACAAGGAACCATTCACAGTACTCTGGAACTTTGTGTCTTTATGAAACAATATTGTTTGACTTTGTTGATTGTTAATATGTGAGATAGCAGGCAGAAAGTTCATGGATATGTCTTTGATGGTCATACTCACTTTCTGATACTAGTGACATTACGAAGGTCTTTGAACTTGATATGAAGATGGAGAATTTTACAATTGTGGAAAATTGTGAATTTGGTTTCAAAGTTGTCGTGGAAACACTGGATTAACTGATGTATGTGGTGTCAGTGTGTTGGAACTCTTGGATACTGGGATGAGATCTACAACCATGATTAACATAGACATGTCTGGGGTTTGTAAGATGTATTGGTGACAGCCTAAGAGTTTCTTTTCATAATTATTGAGAAGAAAATCTGGTGTCATTTAGAATTTGAATGGGACACTGAGATTAGATATGGATCAATATTAGTCATGTGTTGTTATTATATCCTGATTACATACAGTCACCACAAGGAAAACTTTGACATTAGGGTGTGAGGAAGAAGTGTTTATTTTAGTTTGTTCAAATTTGCCTACCTGTAATCTGGTGCATTGACCTAAACAATGTTATCATAGGAAGAGTGTGAGCACAAGAGGAATTTTTAGTATATGAGATTGATTGGATACATTTTCATACATTGAAATGATCAAACGGAAGCAAAAGATTGGAACAATGTATTCAGTCTATGACTGTTGATGAGTCCCCCACCAATGGTGAACCAGGCGACTGGGTCAGGGTGTCCGGGAGAGGTCAAGATGACCAGCCAGGTGGTGGTAGAGACTCTAGTGAGAAACATCCACTGGACACAGTCTGTGCATGAGGTAGTGCATGAAGTTGTGCATGAGGTTGCAGCTTCAGATCCTCCAGACCCACCAGACCCTCCAGATGCTCCAGGTAGTCAGAACTTCTGCCACTCTCATGACTCATATTGTAGGATACTGCTTTCATATTTAGATGACAAGGTGGCCAAGTGGTTATAAAGCACTATAATTTATCCTGCAGAGTTTTGTCCCTTTGTTACCCGGATCTGGTGTCATTGATGTTTGAATGAAAGAATCTTAGTGTTTGTGGGTCTAATCACAGGTGTAAACATCTACAAGCTACTTCAATGTGTAAATTCCTCAATCATGAATTGCCGTCATAGTATTGATGTAAGTGTTAACACAGCATTGAACCCTGTAATCTGACCTTGCCTTAGAATCCAGGTTTGATCTCCCTGTTGGCAATTCTGGGTGAGACCAGTAACCATGAGTGGCTATCGATGTTTCAGCATCTGGGATTTGTTGTTCATGCTGTCAACCATTGGTTTGTTTGCCCCAGACTCAATTATTTACTGGAAGCCCTGATTTGCTTTGAGAAAGCACCTTGTGGATGGATACAGCACTTTATATACTCATCATCATCATATAGGTTAAATATTATTGACTAAGGCAGTAACATTCTTGCACTCAATCCTTGTTAGTTTGGGTAAGAAATACTCCACAGCAGCCTTAAGAGATTATGTATAGATTGGGTTATTCATCACTGGATGGTTTGGTCCAGATTGGATATTTACTGGCTGTTTGTTTGTTTGTTGTTTAATGCCACACTCAGCAATATACCAACTTTATCCAGTGATCAACATCTTGACCATTGATATACACAATTGAGATATCATGATATATTGCAACCAAGTCAGTGACCTTGACCATTCAATCCCGTAAGATGCCTCTTACAACAAGCATGGGTTACTGAATACCAGTTCAAACCCAGAATTTACTAGCTGTCATGTTATATGAAATATTGTTGACTTTGTTCCAGAACACCAGGCAGCCATGGTTCAGATGCGTCATGACTACAAGGAAGACATTGAACTGGTCAAGGTAAGTTTCACTGTTACACCCTTGTCACTATGATGTCCACATTATGGTTTTATACCAACAGCTGATACAGTACAGACCAGGTGGTGATACAGCTTGATGGATGGCTGTGACAAGTTGATGCACCATTACCATGGCTACCAGCTGATATAAATTATTTTTGCATATTTGTAATACATTAGTCATCTAGTTTTATATCTTTTCAAGCATTTTTTCACTGGTACACTTTTTCAATGCTAAATGGATATTATATTCATTTGTATGTTCATGTTGCCATGGAAAGTGTTAATATTTTTACTGTATTCACTTCTTTGAGCACCAAGGGTTCAATGTAGAGTTGGCATGTATCAGGAACTTATCAGTAGTCACTTGTAAGAACTAGTGACTCCTTCCATATTACATAAATATGGTGGAAGACAGATATTCAGGAAACCTCAATGTGTAAACTAAATAAGAAAACTGAAATTGTTTTAATGTAAGGAGTGTTCATATAAAATTGACTGACTTAAGTTGTCTTATTTAAAGATGTATATCTTCAAAGTATGTACTAAAATGTAAATGGTGTTTGAATAATGCCTAATAATCTATTTTGTAAAGTTGTGAGGACATTATCATATATCTTCACCATAGTCTGTTTTCAGATAAAATGTAGAAAAATGGTGCATATTCGATCACATAGACATATCAGCTGAATGTCATGAACAATGAGTGAGTGAGTGGATTTAGTTTCACACCGCTTTTAGCAATATTCCAAAAATATCACAGCGGACACCAGGAATAGGCTTCACACATTGTACCCATGTGGGGATTCGAACCTGGGCCTTTGGCATGACGAGCTAACACTTTGATGACTAGGCTAGCCCATCGTCGTCATGAACAATGATGTCATCTTCCATTGTGTGTGACAATGCATTGATATGGCATCATATTGCACTGGAGTGCTGTGCAAACAGAAAACAAAGGGATTCTTGATATGAATTAGCCAATCAAGCAAAGTGAAAATGTTCAGTGTAAATTACTGAAAATATTTTCTCTTGATATTCCACCCATGTTGGTTTTGGCAGCAAAAGTATGTTAAATATTTTTTATTGTTATTTTGAAACAAGACAACATACTCCATTACCATATGGAAGTGGAATGTTCTGTCGTCTTAGTTACATGTTAGTTTAATTAGGTCTAGGAGTCATGTGACCTAACGAGTGTAATTCTGTTGTTACGCCCTGCATGATTCATGCTGCAGATATTAACTATATATTGGTCTGCCAGGGATTAATAACTCCCATTATGTCAATTATCTCATTGAGTTTGCATATTTGCTTGGTGCTTGGAGGCAATATTGTCATTTATTCCACTGGTACTGAACATTGGGAGGACTAATTTCAGGAAAGGTTCTTTTGGATTAAACATTAGCAGGGACTGAATTTGGATTGCATTTGGAATATGTGGAAGCTTGGATTGTGATCTTTGTCTCCATAGGGTTGTTGTGTTGGTTCATATGCTCTAAAGATGATCATGGTTAATTAAACAGTGTTTCAAGTTTGTGTGTCACTTGTTTCTGCAGAATAGTAGTGGTTGCTACCAGGTAGGTTCTCAGTAATAGCTGTTTGTGTGTCTTTGGGTCTGTTTAGTTCAGTGTTTATTTAATGTACCTTGGATTTATTATGAGTCAGATTCGCGACATATACAGTTGACTCCTGTTATTTGAAAACTGTAATAGGACAGATTCAGGTTTCTGTGCACATTCTTGGTTTGAGACTTAGGCATGAACATTTTACTGACCAATCAAATGCCGATAAGGAAACAGGAAATGGTTTAGGCAGGACTTGACACCAGCCAGCATAGGTGGTTTGTAACTGATTGGCCTGTTTGAGTGAGCAGCTTAGCAAATCAAATTAGCTAATGAAGGGTAGATAATTTGTCTGGACTGGATGTAGAAGTTACTGTAAGTTTACTGAAATGTAAGGACTGATCATAAAGAGGATGGTCTTTATGTCCACTGTAATGTTTTGTTTTTATTCAAGTATTAAAATGTATTAGGTCAGCATGTCTGATCATACTTCAAATATTAGGCTGATTAAAAAAAACCCCAGCTAATACTTATTAGTGAATTTAACTGGAAAAAAAGCCAGCTGTGTCATCAGTTTCAAGCCATGTAAAGTCTAAGCATTTAAGGCCAGTTAGTTTCAACCATCCGACTTTTATATCGCCTTTCATCAAATGATCTTTTAAGTTGATCAGGTTTTATTGATGTAGGGAGATACTACAACTGACATCTTTTTTATTTACCTGTCTTCCTTCAGTGCACCATGTCTTCTTTGACAAAGAATGTACTGCCTCATGGTAGTTGGATATGTTGCATCAGTTTCTCTGTCACATCACATGCCAGTATATAAAGAGTTTGAGATAGCATGTGTCAACTGTATAAATGTGAATAAATGCAGATGGGAATGATATTTTGTTTAGCTGTTTAAGGGTTAATATAGTTAATCTGAAGCGTCTGAACACCTGTTACCTACCACCTGATGTGGTTAATGGCAGCCCCTATCGATACCTCAGACAGTTCTGTGTCCAGGGTTGTACTTTCATTGCTAAGGGCACTGGTTCGATTCGATGTCAAATACGTGAACCTTGTATAGGATTAGCATGGGAATACATAACAGTAAATTGCTCCAGATACAGGTATGTCGGCTATGTTTTTACCATTGTGCTTAGTACTGACTATCATGGAAATGTATGGTAGTTTGGTCACAGTAGCTGGTGAATGATTCACTGTATTCTCTGTGGTGGTATGTCATCATATCATATTTCAGTATAAACAGAGTTGATGAGGACGGAGTGGGCGTTTCCTAATATTTTAGTCGATTTCTGTACGGCATGTTTTGTGTTCAGTTTTGTATATTTACTTTGACTTTTATGTATTAGTTGTTTTGAATCAGCTGACCCTTTACATGGATCGTTTTTATAATTTAGTGACAAGCATTTTTTTTATTTTCCTGTATAGATATATTTCAGTGATGACAAAATCCTTTTACCGGTAATTAGTTAATGATTGGTAGGGGAAGGGAAGTAACTCTTTGTCAGGTCTAAAAAGTAACACCTTTTCTTGTCCATATTCAACCATATTCCTTTGTTTTAAAAAGTTAAATGAAGTTAAATGGTGTTTACCACAAACCTTTTTGTTTGGAAAAGAAAGTTCTAAACCAGCAGAAAAGATGGTAACTCATCACCATCTTGATTTTGTAAACCTGTATACAAAGGGTTGTTTATTTCTTCCCATTGTATGTTTATTGATTTATCATTTTTATTATTTATAAATTCATTATGATTTGGTGTACTCTGTTAATAGAAGCACTTCCTGTATCATGTTTCTGAAAATAGCCATTTTCATAATTATGGTCCACTCTTTGCCAAGGATAGGTTACAAATCTATGTCTGTTGGCATCTTGTGCTGTGAGTTGGAAGCATCATTATTGACTTTCTTGATCAATGGATTGTCTGTGCCAGTGGAAGGAGTGGAAGATTCAGGAATTACTCAGCTGTTCTATAATTTCCTCTACAGTAGAGGCTGTAACTGTGTTATTGTACAGTCAGCAGAAAGCTAGCATAGACTGTAGGTCCTAGTGTTTCCATCGGTTTTAGTTTTGATGCTAATCTGTCGTGTAGGGTCTTGTGAGAATATGGTACAACAAACAGTGTCATGTATCTTTCTAGATGATCTTTAATTTAGGCTGGAATCGGTAAGGAGATTACAGGAAATGCTGGTGTCCCGTGAAGCAGTTCTCTGATTCCGTGGCCTTGAGTCTACTCCCACACGGCCAGCATGGGCTTGTGTTGTGGGAAGGGAAAGGCTGTACAGGTTTGTGTTGGTTGTGCATGGACATTACAGCATGCGGCCAGGATTTATGACTTTCATCTTCACTGACAGAACTAAGGGGAAAGCTTTTTGTAGACTAAGGTGACATTTCTGTGGATGAGTTTTTGTCTTTAATCTTGATGGGTTTTTGCAGATGGATGGATTTGACAGATATAGTTGACATTTTAAAATTGCTGTTGTGTTGTCACAGAGCTAGATGTAATCATCATAGCTGGTGGGATAGTTTATTAAGGCTTCTCTTTGGTGTGCCTGTGTAGAGGCATGAATGGTTGGCTCAAAGGTCCATGGTCAACTTGAGAAAGTTGCACCCCTTGGCTTTGCCAGGATCTGCTAGTTGCAAGTTCAGATCCAAGGTTGGCCCGTATTATTGTACACCATTCTGGGGCTTTTGGACTTCACCAGAATGATAAACATTTTTGTGTATAACGAAACATAAACTCATTCACTCAACTCTTGATAATTCAGTCACATATCATACTGGAGACTGACATGCAAGGGAATATTAGACATATTGGAGATTGTCTCATTCACAGTACATCTCAGAATTATATGCAGACTTTCGGTCAATACTGGTAGATACCATGAAATAGTCATCTTCTGGGCAATGTCAGGACCATCTTTCATGTTTAACACATTATCTGATTTCAATGTGTATTTGAATTTCTCTTTTAGTCTTGAAAGTAAACCCTCTAGGTATATCCCTTGTTGCTGTGTACCTCTGGATCTGTAAATAGCCTTGTTTTGTATTGAAAATAGTTCTTGATCTCTCTGGTCTCTCTAAGGATCAACATTTACTTTGAACTTAAAAAGTACTTAAATGTTATGCAAAAGTCCAGCTTAAAACTTGATTTGTGTTTCTAATGTTAAGGGAGATCTAGTACACTATTATCCTAATTAAATAACAGGATTATGCTGGTCCTCAGCAATCCATTCTTGTTGTAAGAGGCTCACTGACTTGGTTGAAAAATGCCATCAAATTCCGATTCCATTGATCCATGCTCATGATGTTAATCACTGGATTGTCTGTTCCTCACTCGAATATTTACAGACGGCTGTCATATAGGTGCAATATTCAAACATGTATAAGAAAAAACATTTGTAGAGAGCTCAGGGCCAAATAACTTGGGCAATTTTGTTATTAGATGGACATTAACACTTTTGATTAATAATTTTCTAGCCTAGTACTGAGATGAAAACAGACTGCAGGGAAGCAAGTAACAGTAATCTCACTCTGTATATCTCAGCTTGTTGTTAGACATTTTTATAGCAGAATGGGTCAGTTCTATAAATTACTATAGTGCTGAGAACACATGTATTAGACATGATAGTTGGTTGGTAACAGTCGTTATTTTCTCCTCATATTGTGAGCCAGCTATTGGCATCTAATCCCATAATGACGAATTATATCAGGTAGTCAGACTCCGTAGCTTGGTTCAGTGCATGTGAGTGAGTATAGTTTTACACCACTTTTACCAATATTCCAGCAATATCACGGCGGGGTACACAAGAAATGGGCTTCACACATTGTACCCATGTAGGTCTTCGGCGTGATGAGCAAACGCTTAGACCACTAGGCAACCCCACCACCCCTCATTGCATGTCATGTTACCCTCACATCATGGATCATTGCTCATGATATCAATCACTAAGTTGCTCGAACAGTTACCATTCTCATATAGCTGGAATATTGCTTAGTGCATCATCAAACAGCAATCAAACAAGCTGACCTATATATCTGTCATTTATACAAAATATCTGTCCATGTTTATTACTATGTGCTGTATATTTTTCCAACTGAATGATTGTGAAAGTGACAGTACAGCAGTAAATGCCCAGTTTCAGCAGTGTGTAAACTGTATAGGGCAACACAGCATGCCAGCAGCTGGGACAGGCTGAACCTGTTCGGTATTGATTTGTGGGATGTTACAGATTTAGAAAGGGGCAGCTCTGCAGTTTATTAATTCAGTGAATCTTTGTTCACTGTTAGATATGTTTAACTGTGCAGATACTGATTCAATTTGTGTTTTGGAATTTATGGGTTGTATGTTGACATGTTGTTAATAGTTAATTTGTGTAACCACTCATCGGTAAAGGGTGGTTGTGTAGCCTTCTGGTTACAGTGTTCACTTGTCCCACCGAAAAACGAGGTTCGATTCCCCATGTGGGTACAATGTGTGAAGTCCATTTCTGGTGTACCCTGCAATGACATTGCTGGAATATTGTTAAAAACAGCACAAAACCTCACTCACTCACTTTATCAATAAACAATCAGATGAAATTACTTTTTAAGGAAGAGACTGAATATGGCCCACAAAATCAATCGTTTTAGTTTCACTACTTCAGTCCTTGTTGAGGAGAGGTAATAAAAAACATTCATTCATTCACTTCATGTCTCATAAACACTTGACACTTTATGTTCTCATGGCATATGTTGCATGTGCCTCAAGTGGATTCTGACACATCAAGCGTTGTAACAGTAGTGTAGGATTTTCAGTCATTGGCACAAGACACTTTACTTTTTGTTCCCCTTGACCAATATTCATGAATAATATGTTGACCTATATATGTTGTCCTTATCAAACTAAAATGTGTACTTGTTCCTGTACATTCTGTTAGTAATTCATTTTACATTTCATGGTCATTTATTAAATTTCTCTTCTATTTCATAAGAGAATAATCGCGTTTTGCAGGGGGTATTAAAATGGACTCCGTCCGTGCATGCGTCCGTCCGTCCGCGCACATTTGTCTTTTTCGGAGCAGAACTCTAGTTTTGGAATTCTGAATGAAATATGTTTGGCGTTTCCATGGCAACATGTTCAACTTTGACTGAAATTAGTGGTAGTGCTCTTTTCCGGAGCAGAACTCTAAAACCGTTCAATATTTCTTCACCAAACTTGGCACATAGATAGATCTGGTGGTGTACTGGTGCCTTTTGGTAGTTTTGGAATTCTGAATAAAATATTTTTGGCGTTTCCATGGCAACAAGTTTGACTTAGACTGAAATTAGTGGTAGTGCTCTTTTCCGGAGCAGAACTCTAAAACCGTTCAATATTTCTTCACCAAACTTGGCACATAGATAGATCTGGTGGTGTACTGGTGCCTTTTGGTAGTTTTGGAATTCTGAATAAAATATTTTTTGGCATTTCCATGGCAACAAGTTTGACGTAGCCTGAAATTGGTGATAGTGCTGCTTTCTGGAGCAGAACTTTAAAAACCTTTCAATACTCTCCTTCCACTTTTCTATATACACACCTAAATATTTGACATAATCATAACTCGTAGACATAATCATGAAGAGTATTTTGCCATTGAGGGGGATATTGATGACTTTGTCTTCTTGTTCCTTGTTAATTGTACATTTTCTTGTGGAGTTAGAGGGACAGAAGGTAGATTATTTATCTTTGTCTGCTGCAGTCATGTTTTTTCTCTGCGGTTCTTACTTTTAGTACTGTTTAACATATTAAGTGCAGCCCAGATACAATATTTATTCTGTGATCACCATTTGTATTTACACTTGGAAGTGTCATTGTTAGTAAAAGTAGCATATACTTTAACATGGATTTATGACAGTAGTATAACTAAGATTGCTTGGTATGAGGCCCAAGGCATTGTTACATATTGAGATCTTAGTACTGTGATTGCTGTGTCATTGTTACCAAGCACAGACCTCCAAACATTGAAGGGCAACGATTACTGTGGAGAATGATGCAGAGGTTATAAAACATGTACATTGATATTGGCTTGATTGGTGTACATCCTCCATCACTCATCTGTCCTATCTTTGTGCTGTGTCTGCAGAAGGAGCACCAAGTGGAACTAGAGAAGTGTAAACATGACTATGAGCATCAGATTCAGGAGTGTCACACAAAGATCCTGCATCTCCAGCAGGAGGTGGAGAAGTATCAAGTCCTTGCTGGAATTGAAGAACTCACTCAGGCAGCTCTCTCCGAGGCTGAGGCAGCAAGGAAGGAAGCAGGTTTGGGGGACAGGTCAACCCTTCATCTCACCAATGGCTTCCTTTCACCCGAAGATGCTGTGGGTGAGAGGATCATTGCTGTGACGGGGACGCCCCAACAGACACCCTCCACATATCACACCCCTGCAGCTACACCGGAGTGCCTTGGGAAGGATCATCCTGTACAGTATTTGTCAGAAACATCTCCAGAAAACACTGGAACCTTACACCCCCCATCAGAACTTGTGCCTTCACCCCAGGGGGTTGGACTAGATGAGGACACTCCTCCAAGACCCCATCCTCCTGCTGAGGTGTCTGTTGCTCCTAGGGGTCCCCCTCCTCCTCCTCCCCCTCCTCCACCGCCACCTCCTCCACCACCAGGAGTAGGTGGACCACCCCCACCTCCTCCGCCACCTCCACCACCTGGTGGTGGCCCACCACCCCCTCCACCACCCCCTCCTGGACCAGGGATGGGACCTCCACCACCACCCCCAGCTCCTGGAATGGCTATCAAGAAAGGTGAGTTCAGTGAAAATAGAAAACACTTTTCTTGCAAATCAAGCTTTTGAAAAGTTTTCTGTTTTACATTAGTAATGGGAACTCTAGTCAATAGTTCCTGCAAGGCAACCTCATTTGCATTGTGATACTAAGTTTATTGGATTGCTTTATCAGTAGCACTGACATTATATGCTCAACAACTAGTACCTAGGACATGTTGGGCTTATTTTCTCATGCAGTGCTTATATCATAATATAGCTGAAATTAACTTTAAAAACCTTCTCTTTTACTTACTTTTTTTGTCCCCGGCTGCAACGCGGAACAGGGGACTATGTATTCATCTGTGTATGTATGTCCCGATTCTTGTTAACGAGATATCTCATGAACCGTTGTACCCAATGTCTTCAAATTTGGTGACAGCCTACATTGGGGATTTATGCATACACCATTTGATTTGGGTGACCTTGACCTTATCTTCAAGGTCAACACGACAATTTGACCACTTTTCAAATTTATGTAAGCGCAAATATCCCATAAAACTTTGCACCCAATGTCTTCAATTATGTTGACAGCCTACATTGGGAGATTATGCAAACACCAGCAGGTTTTGGTGACCTTGACCATAATTTCAAGGTCACCACGACACTTTTACCACTTTTCAACCTCTTGTTAACGCGATATCTCATGAACTGTTGTACCCAATATCTTCAAATTTTGGGACAGCCTACATTGGGGGATTACACAGACACTATTTAATTCGGGTGACCTTGACCTTATCTTCAAGGTCACCACGACGATTTGACCACTTTTCAAACTTATGTAAAGGCGATATCTCATAAAACTTTGCACCCAACATCTTCAATTATGTTGACAGCCTACATTGGGTGATTATGCAGACACCAGTCATTTCTTGTATGTGACCAAAAAATATAAAGCAGTAAATATGTTATAAATATTTCATTCTTCTTTAGCGGCGGGGGACAATGCCATATTAGTGGCAAACACTTGTTATAGTCTATAGTCCATATGTTTATATTACCCACCTTGCCAGGTCCAATGAAACCAGTTGTCAGCCCCAAGTCACCAATGAAGCCCCTGTTCTGGCAGAGACTACAGGTCCATGACATCAAGAACAAAAACAAGGAGTATGTACCACTGTAAAGGATAATATGGAAATATGATCAGTTCACTACAAAAAACACATTATGATATCAGGCATGAACACATGGAGTATAGTCCAGTATTAAAGCTAACATGGAAATATCCATCAAGATTAGCTGGTTTTATGATTTGACTGACTGACAGACTGAGTTTGGTTTTACGCCGCTTTTAGCAATATTCCAGCAATATCAGGCGGGGACACCAGAAATGGGCTTCACTCATTGTACCCATGAGGGGATTCGAACCCGGGTCTTCGGCGTGACGAGCCAACGCTTTAACCACTAGGCTACCCCACCGCCCCTTTATGATTTGAACAGATTCTTTGATAAAAGTCTCAGAGATACAAATACAGTCTTTCTGTCTCCAGAGAAAAATGTGACATGCTTTTTACTGGACTGTGTAATGGTTCTGCCATATATGAGCAGAATAATAGAGGGTTGAGTTTGTATCCTGGTCCTGTCCTGCATTTAGCCTGCGCTGATATTTTGTCATAGCTCTGTATCAGTGTTTGTTATTAAGATGGAAATTAAGAAACTTGTAATTGTCCTAAATGAAAAATTCACTCAAGATTAATTTGTTTTGATTAATTAATACTATAGCCAATATTTCAGTTAACAATATGTCATATTTGTAGTCATTTCCAGTATAATCTGTTTGGGTCTAATGTCGAGATTTGAAATTCTCTGGTGTCGAAATTTTGTAGAGGTAGTATTTTCAGATTTGACAGATACTTTTTGAGAAAACCTTGATCGGCATCTAAGTAGAGATATTTTACTAATTTAAACCTGTCATGTAGGTTGAAGGACAGAAATCTGTTCTGGGAGAAACTCAAGGAACCCACAGTGGACTTTGATGACTTTGATGACATGTTTGCCAAGAAACCGTTGGAGCCTAAGAAGAAGGCAGCATCCAAGCCAAAGGAAAAGACAAAGAAAGAGGTAAGATCCAGTTTTAGAAGAGAACCCAGCTGGTCCATGGGACCTGACGTTTTATATTTCAAGGGTTCTACAAGTAACAATATGATGTAGTGTACTGAAATGTAAGATTTCATAAGTACTTTATTTGCAGGAACCTCATATTTCTTTTAAGAGTTTGGTACAATAAATAGTTTGTACATCCCCCGGGACACAATATGTGTATTTTTTGCATCCATTCTGTCAGTACTAGACAAACATTTCTACATTAGGTAAAACCTTGGAACTATTTGGTTGTGATTTGAGCATGTTAAGTGCAGACTGTGGTGAATGGGACTTGGGGTACCTTTGGGGCAGGAAACACTCACCTTTTTGCAAATATCTTCACACTAACACGATTTGACTGTGATCTGTAAACACATGCTCATGATAATGCTGCAATCTAATCTGCTTTTAGCAGAGATATCTGATATTTATGAAGAATGTTTTGTTGCCTTTATTTCTTACTAATTCTTGAGCTGTATACATTGTGATGTCTTCAGGTGGTGAAGCTGTTGGATGCCAAGAGGTCACAGGCAGTTGGCATATTCCTGTCCAGTCTCAGAATGGAGATGCAGGATATAGAAAACGGTCAGTTTCATATCTTCATCTGAACCAAATATGTACCCATCAGTTAAAAATTTATCATCAGATCCAAGACTGAATGATTGAGTAGTATCTTCATGTAGAGAGTGCTCCAAATTTTGAGAAGAAAACATGTATTAGTCTAGGTTCTGTTCCTGTTTTCAGAAATCTCGAAGCTGCTTGTGTGTTATGTGATTTGCCTTGTATAATGGATATTGAAAGTTATCCATGTGATTTAGATCTCAAGAAAGATCTTACTTTTCAGATATCGGTAATTTTTGCAATGCTATTTGCAAGAAGCATGACAAGAATTCATTTTATGTAACAAAGAATAGGAAATGTATTGTAAACAAAATCTTGAGAGTACATGTTGACTTACTAAGCTTTCTGTTTTCAGCCATTTTGAATCTTGACACTTCCTTGCTAGACCAAGAGAAACTCAAAGCAATATATGATAGTGTAAGTATTAAACTGAAGTATTTACCTTGCTCCTGTAACCGTATGTGTGTATTGTTTGTAACTGTTGTCCATGAATGCATTCCAGTAACATTTACTCATCTTGCTGAATTAGCCTTGTTGCTATAGATACACTCACATTTCATGTTCAAGGATTATCTTCAGGTGTACAAGGTGTGGAGCCAGTATCTGGCATTATGTCAAATGGCTGCAATTGGTGATTTATTTCAGAAAATGGTGGCTTGGATAATTAGTACACCAGTGTTACCTTTCGGATAACCTTTGTATCAAAACTCGTTGTAATGTCAATATTTTCTAAGTAGCTTGTTTTGAGTGAGTGTGTTGGGTGCAATGCTGCATGGTGCAGTATTCCAGTTTGAACCCGAAGTGATTCAGGTCCTAGATATTTACCATTTTGGTGAAACCCACAAGCACAGGTATGGTGCTGACAAACCATTATTGGTAAAAAGGGTTTGAACCCACGATCATAGGTTTCAGGTGGACCAAGGGACGCAACTCTTCTCAGTCCGAGGAATGTAGCTGAATCTGTGTCCTGCAATTATCCATTAATCCCTTTTTTCAGCGACCTGATGATGATGAATTGAAGAAGATAAAGAAGCATTTTGACAAGAACCCTGATGCAACCCTAGACAAACCAGAACAGTGAGTGGAGCAGTTGCCTCAGTTATTGTTGTAATAGCTTTATCAGGGGTTAACCTGGGTCTATTTGTTTGTGAATCCTGGGTAATTTGGGCGTCCAAGGCATTCAGATGGGAATCCAAGCTGACCATGGTGATCTACCTAATGTTTACAGGCTTGCATGAGGTACGCTTGTCATGACATGACAGTTTAACTACAGAAATATGAAAGAATTGGTCCAAAGTGAGTAGACCGCTAAACAAACAAACTGCAAGTTCATAATGAGTTCAAAGCACAAGCATTCATTTCTAATAGATCTGTCTGACCATGTAGTTCTTCATTGTTTGGTAAACAGGAATACTACACTATGTTCGCTTACCTGAAGAGTCATCCCATGATTATGAACATTGGTTCTATTCATTCCATTTCAGATTTTTCCATGATCTGACGCAGATCCCTGACTACGACAGTCGGATCTTCTGTTTCATCTTCCAGTCTACCTTTGAAGAAAGCATGTCTGTGATAGATTCCAAGCTGAACAACCTCAAGATGACGTGCAAGGTGAAACCCAGCTATAAACTAAACTTTACAACCTGTATCAGATGAGCTTCCTTTGTTTCAAAATATAATATGTTTGAAGTTGTTGAAGGTGAATACATAAATGAAACTATCATTTTTCTTTGACCTATGGCCCTGCTTATTCTGCCAATTCTGTAAATGTCATATTGACAGTAAAGGTATTGAAATAAGAAAAGTAGTCATAAAAGATCTTTGCATGTGATCTTATGAACTTGGTGTTTGTTTAACTTGTTTGGGAGGCATTTAGAAGTTGGAGCACTAAGGAAGGATAACAATATATGGATGAACAACTTCTTTCTTACAGTGAGAGCGACGTTTTGGTGTAGGTCCTAACACCCTTATCAAGTGATGAAGTGTAAGAAAGAAGTTGTTTATCCATATATTGTTATCCTTCCATGGTGTTTGTAGTATAGTGTTACGATAATCAATAGACTGTAACTCTGTGCTCTGAATGTTGGGATCACAAAGTTACCATCTGTCCTTGTGTTTCAGACTCTTGTTGCAGATGATAATATCAAGCAGATATTTGGCATCATTCTTGTGTTTGGGAACTATATGAATGGAGGTATGTCTGAATGTGGACCCATTTGATGTGTACATATCATGATTAAGCTTTAATATCCAGTTGAGATGAGGGAACATTTACAACATAAATCATCTGTGATAAAAGGTTCTTCAAGTTGATGAAAATCAACTGTATACAACAAAACCATTTCTAATTGCTACAAACAGTAAAATATGTTTGTTGAAAACATTTGTTTAAATATATGTGCCTGTTTATTGAAACAATTTTGTTTGGGAGTTTTTTCCAAAAAAGATTTTGTTGGGGAGTTTATATTGTTCAGGGGTAAATTTTGGAACTTGTAAGTGTTTTTAGAGTTTTATCTAGGTTTAGCTGAACCACCCCTGTGTAACAGGTCCAATAACAAACATATTGGTTAGTATTGTTTCCCAATAACAATAGGGTGGGCGCGGTGGGCAAGCTGGCTAAGGCACCAGGCTAGTGATCCAGCAAGGTTGAGGTGCCGGGATCGGGCCCACCTGTGACCGGGTGTAAAAACCTTGGAGTCAACTTTGTGTGCAGACTCTTTCAGTGTTGTCACAACCCCTAGTGTACAGTACACAACCCTGTGCACTTAAAAGAACCCACGAATCTGTTGGTATATGACCAGATGGTGGCCACATGAATATGTGCAAACACCTAGTTGTACAGCAACGTGCAGTAAACTTGGACAAAGTACTGTGACTATGTGTCCCAGTCCACCCAACTGTGAATGGGTACCTTGTTAGGATGAGAAAGCCACAATAACTCAGTGCGCCTAGTGGCAGCAAGAGTTGTATACTCCCCAGGGAGTTGAGATTGATAATACGATGTGCCGTTGAGATTGACATCCAATGATTGAGGGAAAAATACCAGCGCCTTGAGCATGCACCAGTTGCGTGGATATGTGCGCTATATAAATATACTATAATAATAATAATAATAATAATCAGTCAAATTCTAATGATGCTTTGTCATTTCCTAAGATTTGCTGTTCACTTGTTACAGGCAGTAGAACACGTGGCCAGGCTGATGGATTTGGCCTGGAGATTTTACCCAAACTCAGGGATGTCAAGGGAAAGGTAAAGCATACCCATATATCAAAACCATTGCTGTTTATCTTAAAACTTGTGCAGTTTGAATAATTGTTACATATGTATGCATCTTCATAGGTTTTGCATGCTGGAGAATGTCTTGTGACACTTTTAGTTGGAAGATTTGGGTTAGAATTGGTCTTCATTAACCCATGCTTGTCGTAAGAGGCACCTTCCTGGTTCATGCTTATGATGTTGTATCCCAATAGTGTTGACCAATGCTCATGATGTCAATCACTGGATTGTCCATTCCATGATTATTTACTCAGGCCACCATCACATAGCTGGAATATAACTGACTATGGCATTAAACAACACACAAACAAAACACATTCAGATTGAAGGATATATATAGTAAGCCCCAAACCGAGAAGCATGACTTTAGCTGTGAGAAGTTGTATCCCATAGCCTGGCAAGGATCTGCTGTGCATGGAACTCTCTAGCTGTCGTGTTGATTAAATTGTTGCTGGTATTCTACCATATTGGAATAGGTCCTCAGCAAACTATGCTTGTTGTAGGAGGCAACTAAATGACTTGGGTGGTCAGGCGAGGGGACTTGGTTGATTGCATGCCATAGCACATTAGTGGCATGTGTCAGTGCTCATAATATCGATCACTAGGCTGTCTTGTCTTATCTATAGGATGACTGACTGACTGACTGACTGACTGACTGACTGACTGACTGTCTGTGTTTGGTTTCACGCCGCTTTTAGCAATATTCCAGCAACATCACGGCAGGGGACACCAGAAATGGGCTTCACATATTGTACCCATGTGGGGATTCGAACCCGGGTCTTCGGCATGACGAGCCAACGCTTTAACCATTAGGCTACCCCACCACCCCTCTATAGGATGACATCCTATAGCTTGAATAATGTTGGGTGTGTCTTTAAACAACAAACTGTGGAGTTCAATTTAAATTGAGTTTCGGGGAGAGGCATTAACATTGGCAATTTTGCCTGTTTGCCAACCCCCTAAAACCCTGTTATATATAAATGTATACAGATATGTCATTAAAAGAAATATATATTGTTTAAACCAAATTGAGTTTGGCATTTTTTGTAGTCATCTTTTCTAGATTCTGAGGTACTTGTTATGATCGGGACATTTCTAGTAATGTGTTAGGTCAGTCACACAGATCAACCTTTTGAGGAAACAAACAAACAAACAGTGTCATTTCTCTCCCTAACTCCAGGACAACCGGACAAGCCTGCTGCAGTATGTTGTGATGCAGTATGTGAAGACGGTGGAGGGTGACCGGGCAGGGACAGACCAAGCCAAGCTACCTATCCCTGACCCAAGTGATATCAACCAGGCGGCCCTTGTTAACTTTGATGAACTGCAGAAAGAAATCAAGAGAATTAAAAAAGATTTCGATTGTAAGTATTCCATGTGATACCAGTATTCCAGCTTATTAGCAGTACGTGAAATAAAGGATGGACTTGAATTTATTAGATTCATTAGATAACATAAATCACTACCTCAATTATTGGTTATTTTGTGAATGAATTAAATTATTTTAATGTAACATTTTGTTTTCAGCTGCAGAGACAAGATTTCAGAAAGTGTTAAAATCGGAAGTTTCTGCCAATCACCAACAGCCATTTAAGGATATCATGACAGAGTTCTTTGGCAAAGGTTAGTAGAAGACAAATTAATGTGTTCAGGGACTGCGAGACAGATAACTTCTTTCCCCATTGTTCACTGCAACACAGTTTGCAGCTTATACAGCTTGAGAAGGCTGCTTTCTGGTTGGCTAATATCTACTTCTTGTCATCTCAGAGTCAAGGATCATGCGACAGATAACTTTATAAATAATGGGGAACTTTATCCCTATTAAATTATACATTGTTCATTCTGCAACACAGTTTGCAGCTTATACAGCTTGAGAAGGCTGCTTCTGGTTGGCTAATATCTACTTCTTGTCATCTCACGGGTCAGTCAAGGACTGTTGGTATATTAGCTTCACCTCTAAAAAGAGGGTTTCTAAGCATTATATACTCTGGCTTAAGCTTCATTAGTCAATAGCAACACAGCATTTATAAATAATGGGGAACAAGGAACCATTTATCTTAACAAAACAACTATTAAATTATACAAATGGGGACATTACTCTGGGCATTCTGCTTGTCAATATTTTACTTTTTCAAAAAATTTGTAATAACATATTCATGTAGATAGTTATGATAGCAATATTATGAAATTTGTTAGGATTTGTGGGTTTTAACAAGTATGGTGACTGTTCATATTGCTTTAAAATAGCAATGCAACTTATTTAACTTGAAATTAAAATGAATGCCTTGTCACTTGGTGAAATACATATAAAATTGAGTGTTTATTGTATTTATTTGTTGCAAAGTAAGTTGGACTTTTGTTCTTTTCAGGTTTAAAGAAATGGTGCAATTTTTCTGTGTTAAACCCAAGGGAGGCGACTCCTCTGTTTCCCCTGACTATCTGTTCTCATATTGGTTGGGATTCTGCAAGGAATTCAAGGATTTTTGGAAGAGAGAACAACAGCGTATCGTCAAACAGAGGTGAGGATGCTCACACTGTGTGGAATTGACAGACATTAGCCTGTGATTATTGATGCTTCTAGTGCAAAGTAAACTTCTGAAGACAAACTAAATGGTGGTACATGTACCATATAGTAATTCAGGTTGTAGAAAATACATGTCTTTGTCACTGAATGGTTCAACATATTGCACCAGTATCAGATTTTGACTAAATGATGGTTAAGTTGGGTGTATATTTTCCAGGATAAGGGATAGCGAGAACAAGGTGCAGAAGATCATGGGAAACAAGACGGCTGCTGCTCCCCCCAAGATGGCTCGGAAAGCAGGAGGACTGGTGAGGCCACTGATACTTCAAACTATACAAACAAGAATAGCTCCCCTGGATTGTTATAGGTCCCCAATAACCAATACCAAGTGCTTGTAACCCCTCTGGTGAGGGTACTGAGAGTACACAATATACAGACAAGAATAGGTCCTGCGACACTGTGTTATAATATCCAGTGCTTCTAACCCCTCTAGGGGCGGTGGGGTAGCCTAGTGGTTAAAGCTTTGGCTCGTCACGCCCAAGACCCGGGATCGAATATCACCACATGGGTACAATTTGTGAAGCCCATTTCTGGTGTTCCCCGCCTTGATGTTGCTGGAATATTGCTAAAAGCGGCGTAAAACCAAACTCAGTCAGTCTAACCCCTCTGATTAGGCTTCTGATACTACAACATGTGCAGACAGGTCCCCAGTATGTGTCTCCTCTTTGTAGTTTTCTTTGGATATTGTCCCCAGTGTCAGATGTGTGACTCCCCTCACTGGCATTCAAGGTCTAAATATGTCCCTTTATACCTGATGACAGGATCGGTATCCATACTTGTCTCTCTATAGAGATTGGGACAGGATAGGTCCCCTGTATGCTATACTTGTCTCTCTATAGAGATTGGGACAGGATAGGTCCCCTGTATGCTATACTTGTCTCTCTATAGAGATTGGGACAGGATAGGTCCCCTGTATGCTATACTTGTCTCTCTATAGAGATTGGGACAGGATAGGTCCCCTGTATGCTATACTTGTCTCTCTATAGAGATTGGGACAGGATAGGTCCCCTGTATGCTATACTTGTCTCTCTATAGAGATTGGGACAAGATAGGTCCCTGTATGCTATACTTGTCTCTCTATAGAGATTGGGACAAGATAGGTCCCTGTGTGCTATACTTGTCTCTATAGAGATTGGGACAGGATAGGTCCCCTGTATGCTATACTTGTCTCTCTATAGAGATTGGGACAGGATAGGTCCCCTGTATGCTATACTTGTCTCTCTATAGAGATTGGGACAAGATAGGTCCCCTGTATGCTATACTTGTCTCTATAGAGATTGGGACAGGATAGGTCCCCTGTATGCTATACTTGTCTCTCTATAGAGATTGGGACAGGATAGGTCCCCTGTATGCTATACTTGTCTCTCTATAGAGATTGGGACAGGATAGGTCCCCTGTGTGCTATACTTGTCTCTCTATAGAGATTGGGACAAGATAGGTCCCCTGTATGCTATACTTGTCTCTATAGAGATTGGGACAGGATAGGTCCCCTGTATGCTATACTTGTCTCTCTATAGAGATTGGGACAGGATACTCTGTCTCTCTGTAGAGATTGGGAGAGAAGATAGGTCCCCTGTATGCCATACTTGTCTCTCTATAGAGATTGGGACAAGATAGGTCCCCAATATGCCATACTTGTCTCTCTGTAGAGATTGGGACAAGATAGGTCCCCTGTATGCCATACTTGTCTCTCTATAGAGATTGGGACAGGATAGGTCCCCTGTATGCTATACTTGTCTCTCTATAGAGATTGGGACAGGATAGGTCCCCTGTATGCCATACTTGTCTCTCTATAGAGATTGGGAGAAGATAGGTCCCCAATATGCCATACTTGTCTCTCTATAGAGATTGGGACAGGATAGGTCCGCTGTATTCTATAGTTGTCTCTCTATAGAGATTGGGACAAGATAGGTCCCCTGTGTGCTATACTTGTCTCTCTATAGAGATTGGGACAGGATAGGTCCCCTGTATGCTATACTTGTCTCTCTATAGAGATTGGGACAGGATAGGTCCCCTGTATGCTATACTTGTCTCTCTATAGAGATTGGGACAGGATAGGTCCCCTGTATGCTGTACTTGTCTCTCTGTAGAGATTGGGAGAAGATAGGTCCCCTGTATGCCATACTTGTCTCTCTATAGAGATTGGGACAAGATAGGTCCCCAATATGCCATACTTGTCTCTCTGTAGAGATTGGGACAAGATAGGTCCCCTGTATGCCATACTTGTCTCTCTATAGAGATTGGGACAAGATAGGTCCCCTGTATGCTATACTTGTCTCTCTATAGAGATTGGGACAGGATAGGTCCCCTGTATGCCATACTTGTCTCTCTACAGAGATTGGGAGAAGATAGGTCCCCAATATGCCATACTTGTCTCTCTATAGAGATTGGGACAGGATAGGTCCGCTGTATTCTATAGTTGTCTCTCTATAGAGATTGGGACAAGATAGGTCCCCTGTCTGTTTTACTTGTCTCTCTATAGAGATTGGGACAAGATAGGTCCCCTGTATGCTATACTTGTCTCTCTATAGAGATTGGGACAAGAAAGGTCCCCTGTCTGTTATACTTGTCTCTCTATAGAGATTGGGACAAGATAGGTCCCCTGTATGCTATACTTGTCTCTCTATAGAGTTTGGGACAGGATAGGTCCCCTGTATGCTACATGTCTCTCTGTAGAGATTGGGACAAGATAGGTCCCCAATATGCCATACTTGTCTCTCTATAGAGTTTGGGACAGGATAGGTCCGCTGTATTCTATAGTTGTCTCTCTATAGAGATTGGGACAGGATAGGTCCCCGTATGCTATACTTGTCTCAAGTGTATGGAATTCCTAATCAGGTAAGGTTTCCAGTACTACATGTGTGATTACCAGTGGACACTCAAGGGATGTCGTGGACCCCATTATCCAATGCTTGTAGCCCCTTGAGATTCCGGGGCAGAATAGGTCTCCATTACCTCATGATTTCACACACTTTTATCAATTTCTGCATTATCAACAGTAATGACATGGTGAGTGAGTGAATCTTGCTAAACAGCGCATCAGCAATTTTGCAGCTATCTGCAGCGAAACATGAGAGAAGGTTACTGTGAATTCATTGTTACCATAGAGGTATCTGTGAAGCAAAATAGGACATGAATGATATACTTAAACTTCTTGAAGGTTTATGTCAAATCTGATACAGAAAGTAACATTCCCCGCAGAGTTGTCTCCCTTGGTCAGATAGGTGATTTGACTCTTTACAGCTGATTGTAGATCATAGGTCTTTCATGAGCTAAACTATGGAAATCACAGTTTTCATGGATATCATAAAAGTATTAAATGCAAAGTCCAGGACTCTGATCCAAAATTTATCTAAAGCATCAAGTTGTTGTAATTGTTTTTTTAATAATTTTCTTGTTATGATAATATATATATGTCTAAAGTAGGTGATGTGAAACATTTTAAAATGAGTCATATGATCCACACTTTTTGACTTTCACTTTCATCCATAACAAGTCCTATCCTGTAGGGGTGCAAGGGACCCAGAGATTTTATGTTTGCTCTTATCTGTGTAGAGCTATGTCCTGCCAACACCAGAGAATATTAATACCAGTTTCTTCTTAGTTATGATTTGATCTGTCCGTCACCATCAGGGTACAAGTGGAAGGTTGTTGATCAAAGTGTTTTGTTATGAACTTCTGATGCCATGATAGCAACATCTTCTGACAATATGACATGCTTTATGTTTGCAGAAAGACCGGCTAGCACAGAAAGGATTGCTGGGTTGAAAGTCATGGTAAGATCTTCATACAATATTTCATAAAAAGGATGGTTTAGATATATGTTGCAAAGCTTTTAGAATTAGCTTTTAGAATTAGCTTTCACATATTATCATTACCTGTGTTTAGAATGTTATTGTATAGATAACCAAGAAACAAGGTGCACACAACATTTTGACTTGCTCACGGCAGTCTTGCCATGTTCAAAGGGTAATTCATCTGATGGTTTGGTTGTGTGTTTTGTCTTTAAGTTTGGGGAGCCCTGAGACAGGAAAGCAATAAATAGCACACAGTCTAAGGGCTTTAACATTCTGTATGTTTAATGTCATATCCTTTCTGTTTTCTTACATATATCCTGGATGGAAATCAGAAAAATAATTATTCAAGGGAGACAACTTTTGTCACTTTGCTAACTCTTTCACTATGTTCACAAACAGTAGGATTTTGTTTTGTAATTTATAGGAACAGAAGTCGACATTATCAGTGATTATTATTATAAATGGCACAGTAGTATTGATAAATTCAGTTACCACTCCTGTAAGCTTACTTTGTACAAAGATGAATATATATACTAATGAATGTATAGTTTGATTGATGGGTGTACAGGTGAATGGATGCAGGGTTTAATGGATGAGTGTGTAGATGCAAGCATTAAAAAGTTAATCATTTGGTGTGTAGAAGAATATATTCAGGATTTGATTGATGGGTGGATTACTGATTTGAATGAAATGTGTACATGAATAAGTTAATGATTTCAATGATGGGTGTGTACATGTGTGGACTAATAATTCAGCTGATGGGTGTGTAGTTTGGTGGACTGGTGTGGGGAGTAATGATCTCATTGATGGGTTGATAGATTTGGGTTGATCAATGGATTTAATTGATGGGTTTGTAGATGGGTTGATCAATGATTTAATTGATGGGTTTGTAGATGGGTTGATCAATGATTTAATTGATGGGTTTGTAGATGGATTGATCAATGCTTTAATTGATGGGTTTGTAGATGGGTTGATCAATGATTTAATTGATGGGTTTGTAGATGGATTGATCAATGGTTTGATAGATGGGTGTGTAGATGGGTTCATCAATGATTTGATAGATGGGTGTGTACATGTGTGGACTAATAATTCAGCTGATGGGTGTGTAGTTTGGTTGACTGGTGTGGTGATGATCTCTTTGATGGGTTTGTAGATGGGTTGATCAATGATTTAATTGATGGGTTTGTAGATGGATTGATCAATGATTTGATTGATGGGTTTGTAGATGGGTTGATCAATGATTTGATGGATGGGTTTGTAGATGGACTGATCAATGATTTGATGGATGGGTTTGTAGATGGGTTGATCAATGATTTAATTGATGGGTTTGTAGATGGATTGATCAATGCTTTAATTGATGGGTGTGTAGATGGATTGATCAACACTTTAATTGATGGGTTTGTAGATGGGTTGATCAATGCTTTAATTGATGGGTTTGTAGATGGGTTGATCAATGATTTAATTGATGGGTTTGTAGATGGATTGATCAATGGTTTGATAGATGGGTGTGTAGATGGGTTCATCAATGATTTGATAGATGGGTGTGTACATGTGTGGACTAATGATTCAATTGATGATGGGTGTAGATGGGTTGATCAATGTTTGGTTGACTGGGGTGGGGGTGATGATCAATGATTTAATTGATGGGTTTAGATGGGTTGATCAATGATTTAATTGATGGGTTTGATGGGTAGATGGATTGATCAATGATTTAATTGATGGGTTTGTAGATGGATTGATCAATGATTTGATGGATGGGTTTGTAGATGGGTTGATCACTGGTTGGTTTATTTGATGGGTTTGTAGATGGATTGATCAACACTTTAATTGATGGGTTTGTAGATGGGTTGATCAATGCTTTAATTGATGGGTTTGTAGATGGGTTCATCAATGATTTAATTGATGGGTTTATAGATGGGTTGATCAATGATTTGATAGATGGGTGTGTAGATGGGTTGATCAATGATTTGATGGATGGGTTTGTAGATGGGTTGATCAATGATTTGATGGATGGGTTTGTAGATGGGTTGATCAATGATTTGATGGATGGATGGGTTGATTGTAGATGGGTTGATCAATGATTTGATAGATGGGTTTGTAGATGGGTTGATCAATGATTTGATAGATGGGTTTGTAGATGGATTGATCAATGATTTGATAGATGGGTTTGTAGATGGATTGATCAATGATTTGATAGATGGGTTTGTAGATGGATTGATCAATGGTTTGATAGATGGGTTTGTAGATGGGTTGATCAATGATTTGATAGATGGGTTTGTAGATGGGTTGATCAATGATTTGATAGATGGGTTTGTAGATGGATTGATCAATGGTTTGATAGATGGGTTTGTAGATGGGTTGATCAATGATTTGATAGATGGGTTTGTAGATGGGTTGATCAATGATTTGATAGATGGGTTTGTAGATGGGTTGATCAATGATTTGATAGATGGGTTTGTAGATGGGTTGATCAATGATTTGATAGATGGGTTTGTAGATGGTTGATCAATGATCAATGGGTTTGATAGGATGGGTTTGTAGATGGACTGATCAATGATTTGATGGATGGGTTTGTAGATGGGTTGATCAATGATTTGATAGATGGGTTTGTAGATGGGTTGATGAATAGATTTGATGGATGGGTTTGTAGATGGGTTGATCAATGATTTGATAGATGAGTTTGTAGATGGGTTGATCAATGATTTGATAGATGGGTTTGTAGATGGGTTGATGATTAGATTGATGGATGGGTTTGTAGATGGGTTGATGATTAGATTGATGGATGGGTTGATGATTAGATTGATGGGTGGGTTGATGGCCTGATTAATGATTTCATTGATTGGTGTGCAGATGAATGGATTGATAAATGGATCGATGGACGAATTTGATAGATGATAGAAAACTGATGGGTAGAAATATTGATTACTGTATAAATGGTTTGCCTAGCAGATGGTTTGTCAATGAATGTTTCCAATTTCCACCAATATCCTTATCACAGGTAATACCAATACACATACCAATGTCTTGAACTGTGTCATCTTTCCCCAGATAGAAAAATACAAGATAACATTTTTATTCTGAATATGATGATAGGTTTGATGGTGGTGTCATAAGTAATATTGATTAGGTTCAAGTAAATCCTTTAAGTGACTGTTAGTACATTCAGTGCAGCTAAACTGATGGGATGACTTGGCTGTGTTAATCACCTGCACTGAACTCCATCATCCTCTGTCCAGTAAGTGGTCACACGTACTTACATTATTACTTATCTGTATTCTGGCATGGAGAAGGCTTTGTACATAGGGAATGTCATGACTGAAGAAACACATTATGTGCACACCTAGTGAACTCTCAGTTTGACTCCCCTCATTGCTGTCAGAGCTGAGAAACTAGGGGATAAATTGCATATGTCAGTGGCATCTAAATCAAAGCAGTTGTTGTTCTGGAGTATGTGATCTCTAAACCTACTGGCATTTGAATTTGTTCTGTCCCAAGAATGTGGGCATTTGGGACTGGTTTTGATTTGCATTGATTTCTAGCACAATAGCATCTCGATTATCAATAAATATATGAATAAAAATATTTTGTTTTTTAATATTCAGATGTTTCCTTTAAATAGTTGGGGCGGTGGGGTAGCCTTGTGGTTAAAGTGTTCGCTCATCTTACCAAAGACCTTGGTTCGATTTCCCACATGGGTACAATGTGTGAAGCCCATTTCTGGTGCCCCCTGCCATGATATTGCTGGAATATTGCTTAAAGCAGCATAAAACCATACTCACTCTTTTAAATAGCTAAGAACCTGGAGACACTGGATCCCTCCTGATATCAGGTACCCTGTCAATCCAGGCAGGGGGATATATCCACTCCTATATGCTACATCCAGAACCTGTCGATAACCCCTACCCTGCCCCTAGGACCCTGTTTCTACCCCATTACCTACATCAAGAGCCTGCCCCACTCCTATATGCTACATCCAGAACCTGTCCATAACCCCTACCCTGTCCCTAGGACCCTGTTTCTACCCCATTACCTACATCAAGAGCCTGCCCCACCCCTATATGCTATATCCAGAACCTGTCCATAACCCCTACCCTGCCCCAAGGACCCTGTTTGTACCCCATCCTGCCCCTACACCTAAATGCTATAGCAAGCACCATAGCCCTACCTACATCTGGGCCCCTGTACTTATCACATTACCAATATCCTGCACATGTTAAGATCTGGAGTAATCCAGGTTTCTTGTATCAAATGATTAATGGGATCTGGTGGTCCGGCTCATTGACTTGGTTGATGCGTGTTATCATATCCAAATTGTGTAGATCAGTGCTCATGATGTTAATCGCTGGATTGTCTTGCAAATGACTTGATTATTTACAGACTGCCTGAATATAACTGGGACACTGCTGAGTGTGGCTATGAAACAACCAACAGACATTTATTCCTCATCCTGTCCCTAACCCAATACCTACAATTAGGAACCAATAGTGACATCGTCCTATTAAATCTTCAAATAGCAGAAAGCAGACAAACTCATTTTATAGTATCCATGCCAAGGTTCTGAGAGAATGGCCTATAAGATTATGTTCAGGATTGTAATGCATCTTAACCCATGTGGGCAGGTGATGAGAGGGTGTTCACTCTAACATGTCACTGACATTTCCCTGGCCATAGGCCTATCCACTTCACTGAACACTCTGCCCCTGATCAGTGTCCCTATATCTTACATCGATAAGCACTTATTCAGACCCTGTTGTCCTTCTTTCCTATAGCACCTGGGGGCGGTGGGGTAGCCTAGTGGTTAAGGCGTTCGCTCGTCACGCCGAAAACCCGGGTTCGATTCCCCACATGGGCACAATGTGTTAAGTCCATTTCTGGTGTCCCCCGCCGTGATATTGCTGGAATATTGCTAAAAGCGGCGTAAAACTAAACTCACTCACTCACTCCTATAGCACCTGACCCCACTCACTCACTCCAGTCAT